ATCTGGCACGACACGACGATCCTTTTTGCTGAATTGGCACCTTCACCTTACTTACCCTTCCGTTTCCCCATCTTTGATAAACCAGGTGCAATAATTTCGGCTTGCCCTTCGTAGTAGGAATCAGCTGCAGAGACATTACTCGACGAGTATCCATTCGAATTGCTGCAGCTACCATAACAACTGTGTTCTCGACCAATCATCGTGCCCGTAACACGTGACATGTCCAGCAACTGTACAGACGATAAACTGTACGGGCGAGCAAGTGTGCCGAGCATCGTATGGACTCTCTATGCATGATTGCGTGGGATCTGAGAAGCATCAAATCTGCTCAATCTGCTAGCCGATATTAAATTAACAATATTATGTCTATTGGCTGATCGCTCACGTGCACCGACATGGTCCGGAGTTCAGATAGCCAAGGGAACCTTCGCCTACTGTCGCTGTTTCTTCAGATCGAGACGTCATAGCTGCATTGGGCATTCGTTTCGATTCGTCTTGTGAATGCGTTCACAAAGGAAAGCGAAAGAGCTACAACTTGCTCATCCGAAGGCCCGAACGTCCTGGTGCAATTAAGTGGATTTCTGTGATCCACGGTTATCTTCTGTTAGAGCTGAAAGGTTAGCGCAGAATAAGCGATCTGGAAAACAGTGTGTGATTTGCCTGCCTCCACGATCCACAATGACCAATGCCGAGGGTCATTCACAGTTTAGAGTGTTAAAACGAATGCATAACTTTGAGCCGCTGCGGATGTCATAATCGTATCCAGCTGATTCTTAACGAAGAGCATTTTACTCGTTACGTTTTAGAATTTCGCTTTTTAATACAGCCCACTATTCGCCACCTTTTACCGTGTACATTTTGTGTTCATCTTCAGCAGCTATCAGACGAGTGAAGGCGAAATATTGTTTTGAGAGACGCTTTTATCAAACAACATTGCTACCGCTTATTTTCATGCAACGATATCTACACATGATGCTGTCGTTCCTGTTCACAAGTCAACGCCTAGCTACCCGTTGGTCTCGGCTAATTCATTGCTCAAGTAAATTTGCGGTTAAGAGAAAAATTCT